AGGGTCTCTGCCTTACGTGTTGCTTGTAGCACCTGTGCTTGTCAGAGCAATTTCATACCGAGACCAGTTCTGCAATGCAGCAGGTGGGAGAATTTTTAACAATTTCAAAATTTTCAAACATCAAAAAATGCTTGAAATTGCCCAAAAAGCGAACAAAACTAAGAACTGAAAAATTTCCCATTCAAAAAAATTTTCAAATGTTCCGAAAATTCTTCGTTCTTTGTGCTATTCAGACAATATCCAACATATTTTTTTAAAAAACGTATATCCACCCGATATATACCAGACACTCTGAGGGTGCCAGTGTCTTCTAGACACTGTCTCTCCCTTACAGTCTGTGCGAGACCGATTCTCGGTCGTACATGGTATCTGCCAGATTCGGTCTCTGCCTCACCTGGTCTGCTTAAGGCCCGAGTTTCTCATACTTTCATCTGGACTTCGGTTGTACTCCAAGTGGACTTTGCTATACATGTGATACGATGCGCATGGACTGGCCTTGGCATTATGTGGGATGAGTTTGGCAGTGGGCTGTTGGTGAACATGTTTTGGGTCTGGAATGAGGCACATTCACTTGGATGAATATGGCCTGCAATGGGTATAATCTGATAATCTTGGTTGGGCTAGCTAGGGATGTTCTGCTTGACATGGGACACGTCAGTCATGGGCTTTTCTGGGTATGGGCTGTTTAGTATGTACACGGCCATGCTTAGGTAATTCGGTATATGCTCCAGGCATAGTCACTGCTGTACATAGTCCACGCTGGATATGAGCTCGCCTGGATATAGGCTGTGCTGCACATTGTGGTGTCTGTTCTTGGGCTGACTGTGTGAAGACTGGGATGGCTTTGAACTAGTTGAACACAGGCTTGTCATGGGCTTGGAATGTGCTGATCTCGGCACCACCTTGTCTATGCATGGTCTGGTCAGTGTATGAGCCAGGATTGTGATTGTCTCAGCTGATTATTGGCTGAGAATACTGGGCATGGTATGTGCGTTCTTGGACTGTGCTGGACTGGCATGGGCTGCGCTTGGCATTGGTTGGGCTGGGCACCGGCTGTACTTTGCATTTTCTGGGATGTTGTCTCCGTGGGTTGGCATGGTTTCGACATGGAATGGGCTCCTCTAAGTTGCGCTGGACATGTGTGTTGGGTATGTTTTGCATTGCTCATGGAGCCAGTTTCGGATTGGCTAGACTGGGCATACGTGGCCTGGGCATTATCATCGTTGGCAAACATGTAAGAATCAGCTTGCCATTTTTATGTGGTCACTGGTTGTTCTTTGGGCTGGGCAGGTGCTGAGCTGTTTGTGTAACTAACTGGGCATGGCCAAGGCTGTGTAAGATGTGAAGTTTGGCTGTATTGGGTATGGACTTGGCTGTACATGAATTGGGCGTGCATTGGCTTAGCTATGCATGGGGCTTTGCTGGAAAGGGTTTTATCTGTGCTGAGTTAGCCTTGGCTTTGGGTGGTATTGGCCTGGGCACAATGTGGGTTCAGCGTGATGGAGTGTGCACAAGTTATAGTATTATACAGTACTTTACTTTTTTGTCTTTAACTACAAAATACTTTACATGAAAAAAACAATAAAACTGTAATCATAAGAACAGCTATTTAAATTTCCTTAGAACAGCAAATCACAGCAATGCATGTTCTACTTCTACAAATATCTGCATTTCCTGTGCCAGGACAGGATAATTTCAAAATGTAACACAACTTACAAGTTATGACAGCCACAATATCTCAAGCTCCTCATCACTAAGCAGCTGTACTGCATATTTCATTAGCATTTATTCATTTTTCTTGGAAACGAATGTCTCTGAAGAGCCATGTTTGTTATTTCACTTCTTGGTGAGGTTGTCATACATTTCTTTGAACTTCAAACATCCGGAGTGATTGAGTTCATCATAACCAGGAATAATCTTCTTGCACTTCTCATACCACTTAGCAACATTATGGTACTTACTCACGTCAAAACCAAGAATCTGAAAGAGCCAATGACAAACACCATCTCAATTTAAATATAATTCCATTATTAACAAATTACTCATTCAAATTACCCTTTCCAAGTTAGTGTTCTAAATGCTATTAAACACTTACATCCGCAGTGGAAACTGAAGAAATTATTGCTATGTCTGCAATTGTGAGATTGTTTCCTGCTACAAAATCCTGCCCATCTAGAAATTTGTCCAGGAAATTATAAGATTCTTCAATTTTCTTAAACTTCTCTGGGTCACCAGTGGCTTTAGCAAACATGATTGGGTACTGAAATTAAATACATGAAAATAAACTAATATGCATATAAAATTATCAAATTCTTTAATAGAATAGCACAAATAAGGAAAGAAGACAAAAATAGGGAAATGTTAATTAAATACTTTGTCTTTTCATGACAAATAGTACATTTCAATGTTGTTTCTTGGTCACACAAAGATAAAATGCACTGATATACTCACTCAACCTTCCTTGAACCAATGACCACTAAAACAGTGGGTAAAACCAAGTATCAGCAATCTACTGTTGAATACCCAAAATGTCTGCCTGACAAAGTAGTACCTCAGGGAAGGTCTGAGACTCAAACGAATATAAGAACTTTGTACAGACCAGGAGCATTGACAATGTTAATCAATACACTAATTTGCCTATGACCCAGATATCACTGCTCTGCAGGAGAAACGCTGGGTAGGAACAGGAAAGATGTGAAAACCAAACTGGAATTTGTACTAGATCTGCCATGAAAAACAATTTATATTTGGCAATGGCTTCTTCGCTGGTAAAAGAGCAAAAACAAAGAATATTTATATTCACACCTATAGACAAGGAGATACGTGTCTTAAGGATGGAAGCTAAATCTTATAATATAAGCATAATAAACATCCCTGCTCCCACTGAAGATGAGGATAAGAAAAACATTCTATGAGGCTCTGGAAAGGACATATTGATAATTGCCCCAAGAACAACCTGAAAATCATAATTGGAGACATGAATGCACGTGAGGAAACCAACGAAAATGGGAACAGACTCATCAATTTAGCAGAATCACAAAATATGGCAATTGGAAGCACTAGGTTCGAGTCTTCTGATGGGGAAACACAGAACCAAATTGACCACCTACTTCTTGATGCCAAACATCTAAATAATTTATTAGATGTTAGAACATACAGAGGATCATAGACTCTGACCATTAATGATGACATCTAAAATTAGAGTTAGGATATCAAATATAAGTAAATTCAAAGGACCAAGATCAAATAAATTCAATCTGGGCTCTCTTAAGAGTGAGACAGTATTAAAACATTCAGAGAGGACATACACAGCAGGTTAAGTAAAGTGGACACAACAGGCCTTACTGTGAATGAAATGTAAAAAAATATACTTACACCTTCCAGTGAAGAAATATTAGGAAGATTTCTGTCTTCTGGGTTGTTGTGCTGTGTAGTGTGGTAGATGTTAACCAACGTTTCAGAGGTCATCGCCCTGATGACAGAGGCAGTATGACCTCTGAAACGTTGGTAAACATCGACCAGACTACACAGCGCAACAACCCAGAAGACAGAAATCTTCATCGCCCTGATGATGGAGGCAGTATGACCTCTGAAACGTTGGTAAACATCGACCAGACTACACAGCGCAACAACCCAGAAGACAGAAATCTTCATCGCCCTGATGATGGAGGCAGTATGACCTCTGAAACGTTGGTAAACATCGACCAGACTACACAGCGCAACAACCCAGAAGACAGAAATCTTCATCGCCCTGATGATGGAGGCAGTATGACCTCTGAAACGTTGGTAAACATCGACCAGACTACACAGCGCAACAACCCAGAAGACAGAAATCTTCATCGCCCTGATGATGGAGGCAGTATGACCTCTGAAACGTTGGTAAACATCGACCAGACTACACAGCGCAACAACCCAGAAGACAGAAATCTTCATCGCCCTGATGATGGAGGCAGTATGACCTCTGAAACGTTGGTAAACATCGACCAGACTACACAGCGCAACAACCCAGAAGACAGAAATCTTCATCGCCCTGATGATGGAGGCAGTATGACCTCTGAAACGTTGGTAAACATCGACCAGACTACACAGCGCAACAACCCAGAAGACAGAAATCTTCATCGCCCTGATGATGGAGGCAGTATGACCTCTGAAACGTTGGTAAACATCGACCAGACTACACAGCGCAACAACCCAGAAGACAGAAATCTTCATCGCCCTGATGATGGAGGCAGTATGACCTCTGAAACGTTGGTAAACATCGACCAGACTACACAGCGCAACAACCCAGAAGACAGAAATCTTCATCGCCCTGATGATGGAGGCAGTATGACCTCTGAAACGTTGGTAAACATCGACCAGACTACACAGCGCAACAACCCCGAAGACAGAAATCTTCATACTCACTGCTGTGAAAACCTCAAATTTTACAAGAAATATTAGGTATGAAGGAAATTGAAAGAAAGGAAGGGTGATACAATAAGGAGTGTAAAAATGCGACAAAGAATGAAGTTTATAAGCGAGTGATGAGCAATGGTGGAGAAATACTGACAACTAAGGAGAGAAGAAAAGCGAATCCACAGATATCATAAAAGACAATTTGAAAATAGCCTGGTGGAAGAAATTTAGCATTTCAGGTGCAAAACAAAAGTAGAAAACCATATCAATGCATACATCATATAGGAAAGGCTTTTATCCCAATATCGTAAGATTGTTAGATGTGTAAGAACACAAATGGAAGATCAGGTGTAAAATGCTCCTTGAAGGGAAAAATGTGGAAGAGTTAAGTAGACAAGTAGACTACGGATCAGAATGTGATGTGAACCCCCAATGGAAGAGGAAATGCCAAAAGCAATACATTTGTTATACAATAATAACTCTCCTGGCAGAGATGGAATACCATCAGAAGTAATACAAAATGTAGGATCCACATAAACTCATGGTTGATGTATGGACCACTGAAACAATACCACAAGAATGGAACATTGGACTTGTGTCTAATAAACAAGAAAGGGGGCGAATTTGAATGTCATAATTACAGAGGGATCATATTATTAAATTTGGCATACCAGATATTTACTAACATCTTAAATGGAAGGTTAAAACCATGGGCAAAGAAAGTACTCCACAGCTATCAATGTGGAATCTGACATGGAAAATCTAACAAAATTTTTACAATATGGCAAATGCTGGAGAAAATGCTAGAATATGACACTCAGACTTATCATCTTTTTGTGGATCTCAGAACAGCTCATGACTTGGTCGTAAGAGAGAAACTCTGTGAGGCAATGCTAGAATTTGGAAAAGATGACATTTCTCCTCAAAGTGACTGCAGAGACTGGACAAAAACTACAGAATCTCAACCTCCTGCACCTGTGATATGTCACGTGGGGGCCCAGTGGGTCTAGGAAAAGAAAAGAAAAGAAAAAGGTACCCCACATGAACAAAGACTTGTCACCATGGAACATTTGCACACTCATCTTTTTTGAAATGATGCAACTGTAGGTGGAAGAGACAAACATATATAACCACCAACATTTCAACACACTTGAAGAATGACCCTCACCGCCTGACGCGACTAAACAAGAAATTTACTTGTTCTTATTTATTATTGTTCAGACGGGCCATGACCAAAGAGACAGAATGAAATATTTCTCTGAACAAAAACATCTCTTTATGGCCTTTAATGGAAACACAATGAAACGAGACAGATCCTTTCATAGACTGAGATTTTTTTAATTTAGTAACAGAAATGAACCTGATATGACAAAAACTACGACAGGTTGTGGAAATGATAATTGTTTTTCATAAGCTCAATGATGCATATACTAAACATTACAGCACAACTTAACGCTTAGTAGTCGATTAAATCATTGTGCTGTAAAGAGGAAATGATTTTCAAACAGTGTATGCTTCGGATAAAAATCTACGAACTATGTGGTTCTTCAAGATATAATGTATTTAGGTCAAAATTGTTGTTCATTCTTATATCTTATTTAGTATCCAAACAAAGTAAATCAACTTTGCCAGGACTTAAACCTGGGAAAGATTTATAGGGTCATGGCATCCTATAACTTTCTCACCAAAACAACTTTGGTCTGGGTGTGATTTTTCTGTATTGTTCAGCTTCTGAGTTACAGCAACCACCCTCACATGGACTCAAAATTCATGGCAAATTTTTTGATTTTTTTAATCTTTCCAAAATCTCTTCCTGTTCTCATGGAGTCATCATACCAAATTTGGAGTAAATCAGTCTAACCATTCTTGAGCTATATGTGAACGTACACACATCTGCAATTTCAAAATTTCAAATATGTTACATCAGTGGAATGTTAAGTAACCTCTACGACGGCTATGTGCTTGTTCTGTCCATTTCCAACCCAATTCAATGTACAGTCCCAACCACGGTACTAGATAAACCAATAAATTACCACCTTTATGTGGTTTTGAAACTGAAGAGACCATTAAATGTCACAAAACTGAGAAAGGATCAACAACTAGCAGTGTTCAATTCGTAAAACATTAACTTTATCAGCTGTAGCTAAACAAACATTAAGGTAGCTGCTTAAGTTATGCCACGGGCCACTGGTTGAGAAATCGTGTTTAAAGCACGTTGATATCGCCGTGAATTCCAGTAGCCAAGACCACACAGGAAGTGGTGAACATCCTAGAGGAAGCAGGAAAGTCCTGGAAGTTTGGTGTCCTGGCACCATGATGATAATGTGTAACAAAATAACACTCTTTTAATAAAATCCAGTATGTGCCTCTCCAGATACCTTGTCCATGGCCTTGTCCATGAGAAATACTTACAAAAGAACATTTTCTCTTACATCCCAGCCTCTGTCGTGTACATCTGCTCTCTCTCCTCATATAAGAAGATCTTTTTTAATAGAAATCTCCACATCATTTTGCTTCAACCAGATGTAATCACATATAAGAAATTCGGTGGGGCATAAAACCGAAGTAGTAACCTCAGCCTTTTAAATGCGCTACAAAATCCCTTCTTTCTCCAAAGGGCAAACAACAACAGAAGTGTTCTTCACAGAACACTTCTAGTTATCGTACATTTTCGCCGCCAGCTATAATTCAGCGTTGAGGCTGAAGGACATGACAGACAGAACGATGGGCAGGACATGCTCATAAAGCGTTCTTTTTCTGTGCCGAAGTGTAAAAAATGCCTAAAAAGAGCACCATTGTGCTGCACTGGCTAAATTTTGTACTGCCTCAGAGAAAGTCACTGAAATCCAAATTATATTTTTCTACTGTGTAAAAACTGTAATGTGGTTACAATTCTTGAGATGCGGTACAAATACTTTCAAAAGCTGTTCACAAGCACTTAATATATAAAAGTTTCTCTAAAACCACAGTCCAAAAGACTTGAGCAGTGGCAATACAAACAGCAATGGTCAAGTTTACTTACATAATAATCACCAAATCTCTGATACAGAGTCCCGATATCAAAGTACAGCCTTTGATCAACAAGGGCACGCTTCTTTGGGTCCTTCGGATAGAGCGAATCATCCTTTCCATATTTGTCAGCTAGATAGCTAAGAATGGCACGACTGGAAATAGAAACCAATCGCTAAGTGAAATTAAATTTGTCGAGCGCAATGGAGAATACTCAGTATGTTACCCGATTGAAGCACCGAGCAGAAGAATTAAAAAAAACCCAGTATTTCTTAGGAATTTGTTATTCAAGTCCCTCCTGCTTTGAAGAAGGCTAGAACAAATTCATCCAGAAAGATGGCGGTACTTTTATTTCTTGACAGTGAATAATGATCACCGAAGAAAACTAAAATGTCACATAATGGAATAAACTTTAAAACAGTCCATAAAAATAATCTTGTTCCGAGTATGCACAATATACCAACCAACCAATTACTTGTTCGGGCCATTTAAAAATATTTCTGATTATTTTATTTTATCTCCTGACCATAATATTTTATAGGTCACCATACAAAATAGCTTAAAAATATATTTATGTATATATCTGCATTTCAAATATAACTTCCAATTCAGCAAGTAAAATAAATTAACAAACGTGTGATAAGTTTGAATAAAAGTTGGTCTCTAAACTGACCTTTCCCAGAGATAAAATCCACCGTCATTGAGAGTGGGAACTGTGTGCTGAGGATTCATCTGAAACAGAATGAGACATCTAGCTTAATTACGAGAAAACTGATTTAGTTCACACCTAAATGGCAGGCTTCAGAGTCGAGATCTAGTAATTAACTGTATATATCTGCTAAATATGGGCTTCTGTCAACAGTAATTAGGGATTGCATGGCAAGGTCGCCTTGTACAGACACAGAAATCACCTCAGAAAACAAAGTTGTTCACTACTTTCGTCTCATCATCCATACATATGAAAGACACGTAGCCCTCGATTTACGTCGGGGATGCGTTTCTGGACGAACCGGCGTAAATTGAAACTCTTTTATAATGTAAATCGTTGGTCCCCGCGAGTGACAGCGATCTCTGCTGTTATGCGATAGTTGCATTCATGTACGACGCCGACCTATAAATAACCCCGGTACCTCCGCAGAGATTAAATTAGTCCTTTGAAAGTTTAAAGCACCAGGAATGAAATTGCATAAGAGCAAACTCACATATGCAAAAGTTTGCATTTCACAAACAGCTTTTACCGATTCATCGATCTCATTGGAGCAAATTCGCGTTAACGAAACATACGTAATTGCAGAGATGACTGTGTTTATAATTTTTATTCAAAATCAGCGATGTAAGAATTGAGATTTAGTATAAGAAGCAGTACGAGATGCATTGTAAAACGTTATAAATAATATTAAAATATATTTTTTTCACTTTTTGACTTCCTGGTTTCAAAATCGGCGTTATCCTGAATCGGCGCAAATCGAGGGCTACCTGTAACTCAAAAACGCCAGGTAAACTATATTTTGTGTGCAATACTAACTAATTTTAATTATACACATGAAGCCTATGAATTTTCTATTGAGCAAGCTACAAGAATAAATGGTCAACAAGTACCAGCAATGTGAATCAGTGTTTAGGAAACAGGTTATTCCATGGTACTTCCTGCCGTCCCGAAACGTCTACTGTCAAAATAACAGAAATTTGCTAACCAACTAACATTTATATTCCTCGTGCCTGCAGAAAACTCAGAAAATTGATAATTTGAGAAATTATAACCACTAATTATGTAAATTCAAGGTGCTTAATATCAACATGTCTCTCAAGATGACGCTCCCAGCTTCTTGCCAACTTCTACAGCTGAGCCCAGAAGCTCGCTCGTTACACAGTCTGTTGTTTAGCTACAACTAGGGTTTATACAAAAACCTACTTTTGAAAAACCGGTTTTCGAATTTTTACAAAAAACCAAAATACAATTAAAACAGTAAAAAATATATTTATTTTAAAAATGTTCAGTTTATTTAATATTTATAGAACTACAAAAATATAACAAAATAAAATATACTCCATACAAAACCAAATAAAAAACTAAAATCCGTACAAAATATAAATTATAAATTTTCATTTCATTTAGAATTTTTCTTCAGGAAATATGATTTCAAAAAACATAAAATGTCCACTGAACGATTACCTAATCTTGTTCTCATTCTAGATACAAAATTGCCTGAAATAGAAAATTGAGGTTTCACATATGAATCAAAGAATAGCAAAATGTTAACGTTTTCAATTAATTAATTAATTTTTACTTCTAGTATCTAAAACCGGTTTTTTTAAATTTTAAAAACCGGTTTTCGAATTTTTCAACTTTATCTAAAAAAAACTGTTTTTAAACCCGGTTTTTAAAAACTGACAAACCCTAGCTGCCACGTCATATTTATTACGCTCTTTTCATGAACTTCTCCACAACTTTCACACTGCTGCAAAGTTATTTGATCTTTCTTATGCTCCTATCAAACTGGTACATCGTTTTCGTAAGAACATTGAGGTTAGTGGTTGGTAAAAATGGACGGCAGTAGCGAACAGAATGGAGCTGGTTAGGTTAGGTTGTCAGTGCATCTCAGGGATAGAGGAGACAGTCAACGGAGTAGATTACATGATAACTTCGGTTCTTACGTGTACTAACGTAGCAGTTTAAATACACGTACGGAATATTTAAAGTTCACAACACAAAATCTACATCGAAGGTTGAACTGTCAGTGCAAGAAAAATTGCAATGATTTTTTATGATCCAATGCACAATCGCAGTTAAACATTTAAAAGCTTCTTGTGGAAAATTAGGTTGAAGTTTATCAAATGAACTTGTTGCAGAGTGACGTGGAAGTGCGTTCACTACGTCCAGAAACTTACCTGAAACTGTCGTTGCATCACCGACACCAAAGAATAGTTCGTTTTTGCACAACGAAAAACAGTTCAAATTGGCAAGTTCTAATTGGTCAGACAGATCGAGACTTGTGCCACTTACTGACTGAATAACTCCCATTGGATAGCCAAAAATTATTATAGCAAGAGGGCGAGGTTGGCTTTTTCTAAATTCTTGAAGATTAGGGAAATTTCCATCAACCTGTTGCAGACCGTAGTCGGTTCATGTAACCTAAGTTTTTTAATCAGTTCCCCCCCTTTTCAAGTCAGGTTTTATATCATTATCTCTCACATGTCTTATTTAGTGCAAAATTTTAATATTTGAATGTTAAAAATTTTCATTAATATTAATTAATTAATTTAATTTCTGTACTCAACTGTGTTTTATACTTTATTAAATCCTCTAGTCCAGTGGTATTCAACCTGGGGTACACGTACCCTCGGGGGTACGCGAAGACATCTTAGGGGGTACGTGAAATTTAAAAAAATATATATTATTTTATGATAAACACTGAATAATCAGTAATGTAATTTATTTAAGTTATTTTAAATGTAGATTATATACTATGTATAACTTGAATTATACACCAACAACTTTGGGGGTACAAAGTTGAAGAGAAATTATATCTGGGGGTACGCGAACAAAAAATGTTGAATACCACTGCTCTAGTCTGTCTAACCTTTGGATCCATAAAACGCATTACCTTCAGAAACGCAGGTGTAAGATGTTCGCCTGCCATGAGATTAGTCAATTTGAGGTTCAGATCCACACCAACAACTTTGGCTGCCAGCAGGACAGAGCGACAAGGTGCACTGCCAGGCACGTAGTAGAAATCGATGGTCATCTTGAACTAGTAACTTCTGGAAAAAAACAATCAATATCGACACTGAAGCTGGAGCAATAATTCTCACTGGCTGGCCAAAAATTATTACAGCAAGAGTGCGAGAGCGGAAATTTTGTAATTCTTGAAGATTCCAAGACGTTAACCTTTCTATTTGAGGATGAGATAAACTAATGCACCCTCGGTGGAAATTTTCAACCTCAGTTTCCAGACGTGGTCGGTGTACGTCATGTCTCACGAACTTCTACTTGGTCGACTTCAGGAGTTCCAAACTTTTACGTTACGTTAATGATACTGGGCATGCATTGTCTCGGTTCAACCACTTGGAGGGTTACACTCGTCAGTGTTTGACGTAGAAAACAAGTGATGAAAACATTGTATCAGTAAGTACACTGTGGGTTCTTTGAAATGGGCTCATAAACAACACTTATCACAAGTAATTATTTTCTATAACTGCAGTTTTGTTGGTAGTTATTTAAATCACACTTGTAACTTGCACCCAGTAGACGACGATTTGCTTAAGGTAAGATCACACGGCCTAGAAATGCCAATATCCATTACAGGCAGCCAGGAAAGCTGGATGTTTGAACAACTGTGGATTTGCAGGAAGCAGATGTTATAAGGCATCTCGACTGACAATGAGAGAGAAAATAATGAAAACCCGAACAATGGCTGGTCGTAATCAAGGCTGCTACGCCCGAAAAACGCCAGTATTACCGGAAATCGGGCACAGATGCGAGTTTACGACTCCACCAAGCTTTTGCCAAAGACCAGAAGTCATGTTCCTATGTTAAACTACACCAAAGAATGCCATCAGATGTTTTCCAACACAAGCGTACCCACGAAAAGTTTCGGGAAACGTTCAGTTCAAAGATTCCACTAACATATTGCAGAATTTCACGAATCCAATATTCCTCCATTAAAATTATTTCTGCGTTCGGAATGGGCAAAATCAAAGTGCGGATAACGTCCTTGATTTAAGCTACGAACTTAATCCTCTCTCCTCTCCTCTTCCCTATCAATGTATTCGACCACAAATAATCAGAGTATTTGAAGAAATCGTGCTGGAATACTGAAGTGAACACAAGCAAGAAACAATGCTAACTTTCAAGAAGGTGCAGTTCTGGTTTGCGAACGCAGCTAATAGACAGCGCCGGTGGAGAAACTAGCGGAGCTGGCGGACGGACCTAGTCTGTGCACCTGAGGTGGCATGGTCAGTGTATTTCTTTTGTTTGGGTTTTCCGTTCGATAAGTTCCTCATCCTTCCTGAAGGAAGACGAATATCGTACAAGTGACTCGCTCCCAGCATGCGATCCACTCTTTTCCGTATCCGATAAAATTCTTTCTGCTGGCTTTCTTGGATTCTATAACCCTCTTTTCTTCGTTTAAAGAATAAAATGCTGACTGACCCAAACATACGCTATAATTTCACATTCTATATAATTAAAAATTAAATAAACTCTTAACAAATGCTCAAGGCAGTTGAACACATCTGACACCGAGCCTGGACTTTTCCTGTGAAGTCCTTCAAGGAGGGCAATGGAGCCAGCCAGCCTACAAGCCAATTTACAACTGCATGGCAAGTCGATTTCTTTGTTAACATCCTTGGCGTCTCTCGACAGAAGTTGAAACATCAGCGAACAAAACGAGAATTACAATATTTTCACAAAATTATCAACTCGCGTCTTCATCTCTCATTACCAAATTCTTGTCATAATTAGGTTACCTGAGAAATATATAACTTCTTTCACATTATTGCACACATTATTTTCCTCCTAGAGCTGACTATCGTGAAATGTGAACATATAAATATTTGAAGATTTCCGTCTTCTGGGTTGTTGCGCCGTGTAGTATGGTCGATGTTTACCAACGTTGCGGAGGTCATACTGCCTCCGTCATCAGAGTATGAAGATTTCTGTCTTCTGGGTTGTTGCGCTGCGTAGTATGGTCGATGTTCATCGCCCTGATGATGGAGGCAGTATGACCTCCGAAACGTTGGTAAACATCGACCATACTACACGGCGCAACAACCCAGAAGACGGAAATCTTCAAACTTATCGCCCTGATGACGGAGGCAGTATGACCTCTGAAACGTTGGTAAACATCGACCAGACTACACAGCGCAACAACCCAGAAGACAGAAATCTTCTTACTCACGGCTGTGAAAACCTCAAATCTTACATATGAATATTTGCATGTATTGACGAGAATGTTATATTTCTGCTCCTTCCCATTTGATTTTTACCGGGTCTCCAATTTATGATCTTACGGTCGTGCTTACATTGCGTTATTGGCCGCTGCTGTTGACGAAGGCGGGCGAATCAGTTTCGGTGCCTCTAGTATCAGCGAACTACGAATATTTCTCGTCACTAATACATGTTATTACATTAATTGTTTTTACCTTAAATCACAAAAAGAAAATATTTGGCAATTTCCCAAGAAGAGCTTCGTCGAGTATTTCGAAACATGTTAACGAGATGTGAAACTTGCTTGCAAGCACAAGGAAGTCACTTTAAACATGTTTTGTGATTTAAGGTAAGAACAATTAATGTAATAACATGTATTAGTGACGTGAAATATTCGTAGTTCGCTGATACTAGCGGCACCGAAACTGATTCGCCCGTGACTCAGGCGTACAAGTCCCGCCTACGTCAACAGCAGCGGCCGATAACGCAATGTAAGCACGACCGTAAGCTCATAAATTGGAGACCCGGTATGTTTCGTGACTTGTACTGCAGCGTTTTATTATGATCTTAATCGAACTTCATGTCACACTGCTTCAGTATAAAACAAGATTTCGCTGAATATAAGCATTTTGGTTTGCTAGACTTCTCAGAAGAATGCCTACAACGCATATTACACTGATACATAGTTAGAGAAATATTTCATTTACCAATGACGTAGCAACTGATATGATTTCTTTTATTTGGCATTTCGCGTTGTTCTTATACAAAGAACTGAATTGAATTATCACCACCATAATCATCTACAGAATGTTACAAAATCATTGGGAAGCTAATAGTCGCTATCCTCGTCAAACGAATCCAAACGTCAAAGATCAGCTTTAATTTATCCTCCGACTTGCCCTTAATTCTTCTGTCAGATGAAATTACTGGGGATCATCAGTGTGGACATGACGTTACCCAACATCTGCTAATAAGCTGTACCAGACACTTGAGAGAGTAAAAAAACAGGTCAGTAGTACTTTCGGATTTGTATTTCGTATAACAAAATTCCATGCAAATTTATTTTAAACCATTTCGTAAATGGTCACTAAGACGTTACTTCGTCGAAGACTGGAACAAATCGCAGTGTATATTAACGGAGTATTAAGGCAGATTTTACCAAAACTTTGAATACCACACGTCTATCCACTTGACTCACAGAACAAACCGGCAATATCCTCCGATTGCCGACGCTCCATTTGAGAATAAAACAAACAAACATGGGTGTGTCCAATGGTAGTAATAAAGTACTTACCGTGAAACTAAACACAGCACACACAAACAAAGACAGCTTGCCTTCAACTGAACTCCCTTACGTCCCTTCCTTTACGTATATACCCCAACATGACTTGAACATTTCCGCCCGAGGAACCGTGTCGAGAGAGACCAAGGTGATCTTGCTTCTCACCTCCTGAACGAAAACATCGATCACAATTACGCAACAACAGACTAATTAATTCAGAGTATGTGGATGTACGAAAGTCCCTCTGAAATCATGTATAAAATAACTTAGAGTGCACTTGTCGAATATGAATGAACTTAGCTTTAATGTCTAAAAGTATGTATGTATGTTTTCTGTAAGTATAGTAACGTGTAGAAAGGCGTGGCACAGCGGCTGACCAATCACGTAAAGCCAGCGCACGGGCAGAGCGGGGACGATTGACAGGGAATGGAATGCAGTGGAAAAGCTACCTAACCTATCAACCCAACAAACTGACTCACAGTCCGCGAGCTTTTTGTTCGTCTGGGATAATGAGTGGGGGTTCCTAATAAGGATAAATCTTTCCTTTAGCTATCTCCAGGGAGAACGGGCCTGATTGAGAAGCTGATAGTCGCTCATCCGTCTTTTACGGAACAAAAAAGCATGCCACTTCTCCTCTCATGCTCGCCCGTGAGTTTCATGATGTCTCCTCCCTAAAAAGTTTTAAGTTTAAGATTTTGCGTGCGTGTCTCATTGCTTCCAAGTATGCTACATGCCTTACCCATCTCATTTTCCTTGATTTTCTCAGTCCCTCTATTACTTTCGCCTCATTACAAGCAAATGTTCAACCGCCCTCAACCTCTGTTGTTCCCGTATAGTGACAGACTCTTATGCCCATACAAAACAGTAGATAAAATCTTTTCGTTTTCAGATGATGAAAAATAAGGCAAATTATTCTGAACCAAATGGAAACAATCTCTTTTCGAATTTGCCTATGTATGTTGTCGGTGGGTAGCAATGTTTGTAAGGAATATTCCGCCCTCAAGATGAAGACAGTATGTTCCTCAGAAAATTTTGTGTCCACAAATAAGTCCACGCGGCATCACAATCCAGAAGACTAACATGATCTTTAATTTCTTCGTGAATTTAATTTTGGTGTATTCCTGCCATTCCAAAATATTTTAATTATGCTATATTTCGAAGGTTGTGTTCATATTATGATATTGGTCGGCATTCTGGCAATGCGATGGCTTGTCCAAATAATTCCTGGTCCCTTATGCCATTCTTTGGCCTCACTAATGACGTAATCTAATGGGTAAAGAAGCATCTCGTTGTGCCCGGCCCTTCTGAATAAGACATTAAACAGGGCTGCACACTTTGTTGCAGGTATATTTATTTCTTCTGAGAACGATTATTATATTAAAGCATTTTACTTTTATATTTGCGTAATATAGGTTCGCTTAAATGTAATTCCCCCATTTGTAACTTATTTTATATAAATATTTTCTAACATTCCTTAAATCAACAATATACTACGATACATTGCTTCCTTAACTCTCGACTAAAACCTTTTTTATACCAAGACGTTTAGTGCGCAGAAATTTTCCTGTCCGCCTCATTTTTCCATCCACTTTAACAGGAAATTTTCTGCATTTTCGTCGACTGAGAGCCGTGCAACAACCACTTCTCTTTCGTCACAGTAAAATACCAGACGTTTAATCTTGTAAATGAATAAATATTCTGCCTTTCTGTTTCACTGAAATATTCTTTTATCTACGTAGGCCTACGTGTCCACTCGCTCCACTGTCACATTTTCCTACCTCGTATTTCCCCCAGATACAAGATCGCCGTTATTACATAACGCGTCGAGTTTAATGATTAATTTTGCCGCTGTCTATATTGATCTCGAAATATAAAGCAGGTGTTTGCCGTTACTGAACATTCGCGGAACGCCATGTTGTGCGTGACTCAGCTGTTTCACAGTTGCGCTGTTACAGTACCACCACCACCACCCGCCTTTGTGATGATAACTTACATGTTTCATTCTTGCCTCACTCTGGTGTAACATAACATAATTATTTGCCCTTGTTAATCCAAGGTGTATGTGTGAATGAAGCCCGTACGCATGCGTATACGCGACAGAGGAAGTTCTGTTATCACTTAGCAGTGTACTGGTCATCTGTGTGTCTAAGTGCCTGAGTTAGAGGTCCTTGAGGCCTATTACAAGCGAAGGTTCTGGAATGGAATGTACGTTCGAGGTCAATGGTGGTCTGTGGTGATGTCTGTATCGAAATGCGCGCTGCATCCACAATGACAGATTTCTCAAGTTTCAAACCAACCGGAGTGTCTGCCAGTGACGTCTTTGAAAAGATAATAAGGTTCCAGTCGTACCAGTAATTTTCTGTTCACCTTCTCCTCCACATTCCACGTGCGCTGTAGATTTTGTGTTTTAATCTTGTCTTCTTTCTCCGAACATGGCGTTTATATTACAATTGTTATTATTATTTAAGTACGCTGTATCAATTACAGCGTTCATATGACAGGGGAGAAATTTGTCTGGACGTTGTCAATTGCTTCAGTGCTCCAACAATACAAAGCAAACTGTCCACCGTGAACGAACCGAAACCATTCTGTTAGTACACGATGAACACAAATAATCTGAGCGGTTTCAATTGCGTGTTCAACAAAAACTGAAACACGTACAGTTATGAAACTTGCACAATCGAAGTTACAACTTCAAACAAATTTGTTCTGTGCGTCTCCAACGGCGGTCGCTAAGAGAGCAGGTGTTGACATGGCAGTAAAATGGTTACTCAACCAGAGATAGCGTTGTGTGCGCCCGTCATCCTTTCAAAAGAAATCCGTGACCGAAGTGCTTCATGTTGCAATCCAATTCCGACGACAATAACAATAAACCTGCTCTGTCATACAGGTACATTCATACGCATATGAGTTTGGGCTGCGTTGTCACATACACCTGCTAGAATTCAGAATAGCAAATAATTATGTTGTGTTACACCAGAGTGAGGCAAGAATGAAACATGCAAGTTATCATCACAAAGGCGCGGGGTGGGGGGTGGTACTGTAACAGCGCAACTGTGAAACTGCTGAGTCACGCACAACATGGCGTTCCGCGAATGTTCAGTAACGGCAAACACCCGCTTTGTAAATAACAGGGCCCGTTTCCGTCAGCAATTCGACCCAGCGCGCATTCCATTTAGGGCTACAGAATGTTTACAGAAAGAGGAAACAGCTTATTTGCTGGGTCTTCACAAATAAACGCGTTGCAAGTCGGAGCATATTTGACTGACGACAGAAATTCTGAAACAGTATTCCGTCCCCCCCCTCCAACCATTTGTTTTAGTTGTGTATGCAGGGGCTTTGTAATGGATGGATTGGTTTCCTGTTCCTCAAATTCCACAGGTTACCCAGCAGATTCGGTGAAACAGAAACTTGTTTACCTGTAAATAAATCAATAGAAGAAAAACATTCCTTGGAACCCTCGAATAAAGGGTATTTCGAGATCAATACAGACTGCGGCAAAATTAATCATTAAACTCGACGTGTTATGTAATAACGGCGACCTTGTATCTGGGGGAAATACGAGGAAGGAAAATGTGATAGTGGAGTGAGTGTACACGCAGGCCTACGTAGACAATAGAATATTTCAGTGAAACAGAAAGGCAGAATATTTGTTCATTTACAAAATTAAACGTCTGGTCTTTTACTGAGACGAAAGATAAGTGATTGTTGCACGGCTATCAGTCGACGAAAATGCAGAACATTTCCTGTTAAAGTGGATGGAAAAATGAGGCGGACAGGAAAATTTCTGCGCACTAAACGTCTTGGTATAAAAAAGGTTTTAGTCGAGAGTTAAGGAAGCAATGTATCGTAGTATATTGTTGATTTAAGGAATGTTAGAAAATATTTATATAAAATAAGTTACAAATGGATGAGCTGAGGGTACGAGAGAAGTTAGCTAGACACTTAATAATGTTCTGTGTAGTTTGCGTGTTACTGAAAGCGAAAAAGATCTACAGACCACAAGAACTGTTTGTTGAGAAGACACAGAGCTTTTGAAAGTGATCACAACCAAATTACAAAATATCTGTATTTGTGCAAATACTATTTTATCATATATTTACGTCATTTGTTATATCTACCACAGTTGAAAACTCACTTCTACAAGAGGCTGCCTTTACTTTGACGTGTTCGACAATGCGAAGTGAAAGGCGTTTACGAGGTGACGCATCTGAAACAGCGTTACCAACCCCAGACTCTTACAATAAACTACTTTACAAGCAAGTCCTTGGAAAAGCTAACAATTACAGTCACGAAATTCTTCGATTTTAATAGAACCCTAAGGTTCATCACCATGTTCACAACAGTCTGCCACTAGTCCCTATTGTGAGCCAGAATAATCCAATATACACCCTCCTGTTTCCTGAAAATACATTTTAATATGACCCTCCCATCCACCCTTCAGTCCTCTAAGCCCCTTTCAGGCTTCCCAACCAAAATCCTGTATGCACTTCTGATATCCACACGTCATCCTCCTCGATTTGATTATGTTTTGGTTATTAGCACAGTCAAAAACCTTTACAGGCACAGTCACGTGGAATGTGACCGCATGCATTCAACAATTAAGAAAGCAAACGAGTTCACCAAAATGTTTTATGATGATTGGGTTAACGTAGTAACATCGGCGAAGACGCAGGGCGATGGAACATTGAACATACAGTGGTGCCACCTATGTGGAATTCAGAAGTAAACACAATGGCAATCTCCTTTGTCCTGATCGTTCACTCACAAACAGTATAATTCGACTCAGCCACCAACCTTACCAAGATCACTACAATGAACACTGACGTGTTACTTAGAACCACATCAAATGTATCAATAACATATCTAACGGCTGACATTTATATATGATCTAACATAAGTGACTTGAGTGAAATTGGTATACCTGATGCATAAACTCTGCAGTGTGTACTGTTCTGCCACCTATGTATCATTCACAACTAACAGAACGGCGACGTATTGTGAGCAGTAGCACAGTCAGTTAAGGAGGTTACGTTGCACTTTTCAACCTTTCCCCCAACCCTCTGCTAATTAGTTTTTCTCTCTCAGAATGAAAAAATAAGTTATATCTTCAAAGAACGAACACAGCCTACCCACACTACATTCTTCATAACCATGCAAAATATTTCCTAATTCCATTTTGTTCAATTCATCCCTCAATTTCTTTTATCCAATATCACGTAATAAGCTTCAAACAAAAAAAACATTTGCTTCCAGAAATTGCAAACAACGAAATTTTAAATGAATGTTTTGTCACGAAATATTCGTACTGGCTACCTTCAGATCCAAATCTGGCAAAATTCAGGGACGGGACTGGCAAATTCATTTCTTAAATCTAGCAACGCATGGGGCCATCACTTAATCTGAGCATGCACTACGCCTTCTCAACATGAACAATTCCAGGACTGAAGCAGACGCGTTAAAGAAACCACAAATAACCGTATCATCAGCAAAATCTTTCTTTGATTTGAAGCACAATGATCTGGTTCAATTTATGCACCAATGTTATATTCGACAGCTCCTCAATCGCGAATGATTCGATAGTCTAAAAATAGATCACGGCCACTGAGTTTCCTATCCTTTGTAAATTATCATTCACAGTCCTCTCATACGCTGTGTAACTCAACCTGCGCTGTTGAGAAATCGTAATTAAATAAGATAAGAAACAAAGTAACGAAGCACTCTTTCAGATCGCTGTGTGATTGAAACGCAGAATCACATTGCGTCATAGCAGCGGTCCCGGAAACTGAAGTCACATGATTCGTACCGCCCCCTTGACGAGCACAGATGTGGCTGTCACGCACAGCCGCCTAGCTGTTCGTTTTTGTTCGTTCCCACAATTGGAGAATGACTTGCAAAAATGCTTTAAGTTTCCTGGAAACGCTCGGATAGAATAAAAATAACTTTGCTTATGTGGGATTTATGTAACGACGTTTCTAGTAGGTAAGGCCTTGTTGCGTCCAATGACGTGTGGTCTGTCCCCTAAGTCAAGGAAGGTAAAATGGGCAATGCATTTTGAAACATGAGATACGTGTGAATAAAAATAGTCTTAGCAGTTGAAAGGATGTGAGGGTTTGGACAGAATAGGGTTAGGTGATGAGCCCATCCCAACAATGAGAAACATTTATTCCGTACAATAAATGCACTGAAATAAGGTATGCGTTCTAAAAGGCAAATACGATCAAAAATCCTATTCCCCAATGGGGAGAGTTGTCGTTGCGTGCCTACCACGTGGTTCACAATGAGAAAGGACAGAAAATAGAATGTTTTGCATGAATAAGAAGCAGTTCATTTTAACGACTTTCTTTGGAAACGCTCAGAGGAAGTGCCTGTGATCACTCCACTGCTGCCAATATAAAAATCATAATAACAAGAACAACGATAATAATGAAGCTCACTAATTCAAAACTTCGGTCAGAGGATTGAATTACGGGTCTGATTTTGTTTTCATATTATTTATCTCAGCTTCTTGTAGAAACGCATTCATTTTCTGCACAACGAAGAAAACTGGTAAATGGACAGATAGAATAAGACTTGCTTCCTTTTAGATTCGACTAAATGGAAAAAATAATTAGATGCATGACTGGGCTTATGTGTCGTGCGGGTCACTGCTTCAGTAAGGGGCATTCGATGTAAACGATACACGTTCTTGATAAGTTTATTGACAGTGAGCAGAACAAGCAGATATTATATCCATATGTGACCGTCTAGATTAAAGTATAAAGTATGCAGTGACAGTAAATTGTTAAATTTTGTCCCCAAATTGTCAACTAACGTAGCATAATCCGAAGTTCACTTTTTCTGTACGGAAATTTCCGCTTTACTTAACCATTATATCTTTCTTACTAACTGCAATTAATGTTTTGTAGTTCATGTACGTAAATTAATGAATGTACAAAAAAAATACATAATTAGCATAAGTTATAGGTCACATGAAAGTGTTACAGCACCATAATTGATATATTTTATTTTGATGATGCCTCTATCCTGTGTTCGTATTGAGAAATATCCATTGATGAAATGAAAGAATATTTAATATGTGTTCAAAGTAAATGTAACACTGTCTAATAGTGGATGAAAAACGGGTAAAAGATTAAACAACGATGTTTTTCTTAAATAAGAATATAATACAATATTATTTGAGGATTCTTCTGAAATAAATACAGCTTTTTTATTACTTGAAAAAATTAAATGGTTTGTTTTGGTGTATTATATAAAGAATCATCATCGTTAAGACGTAATAATTTTATTATTTCATCAGAGTAACAGAAATTTGTATCATCATTGACATATGTTATCAGACTTTTTCGTTCCAGTACACATTAAGAATACATAAAGACTGATGGAGTGCAATGTATAATAGTTATTATCTGTGATTCGAGATTAAGGGCTGTTACCAAGTAGCCTAGCACGTGATCGATGATGTGTGTCACGCGTAGATGCGTAGTCCTGTAGGGTAAACGATGTTTTCACTTTTGACCTGATGCATGAGCTTCAATGTGTCTTTTAATCAGGTCATTACCAGCAGTCTGTATTTCGTCGTAGCCCTCAATCGTCTTCTTTGCTTTGGCAAGCCACCGGGTCACGTTCTGGAACTTGCTGATGTCCGCTTTAAAAACCTACATTTACACGAAAGCACAATTTATAATAAAGAATGTTCAACCGACACAAAATTACAGAACCTGCTATTTATGACGTCACAGACCTTTCAAGATGTTTCACTTTTGAGCATTGAAATATGTAGGACATAATGCTAACATATTTGCACAAATTATGACGCCTAATTTTAAATTAATATATATTTTCCCCCACAATAACGCGAAATTTCCAAATATCCCTCGAAATATCGCGGAAATTTTTGTCCGACAATTGGCAGTATTGGAGCAATCTCCGTACGCTACCAGCTGCGCCTTTGTTCTGTTTCGTCAGTTCGCTCTTGACAATTGAATTTCGCTGTCCGCTATCAACTTTTTGTGGCCTGTAAATGTTTTCATAGCTACGGGTTCATCGGGACATGAAAACAATATTTTGATGGTTCGTCCATAGAATTAAAAAAGGTAGGAAACACTTAGCTTCAAATGACGGTTTGAAGGCAGCTCTTCTGGCCTCTTATACACGCGGGTTCCTTTCCCCGAGGCAAATGTCAAGAGAACAGCTTAAAAATATCTTCATCTCTCTGTTTCCTGTCCACTTCAACTGATAACAGCACATCTTGCAGTTTGGGCAACTCAAAATGCTTCGTTACAATAGTCGTACAATAAATCAACTCCTTTCGGCCGCACTCAGCCATCGACAAGGTAAGAGGGACGAACGGAAATAATTAAGTAATCAGAACATTAACCTAACATTCACCACTCTTAACGTTTACCATTTTCTTTTCACAAAGTTGTATATTATGAGCGTTCAATAAACACCTTGGAACTACCACTATAAGATCCGTGAACTAAAATGCGTCATATTGTAAAAAAAAAAAGTTCATCTTTCAGAAACTAGTTAGGCCTATTCGACATCGAATAAGTTAAGATCTGCTAACTTTTATATAAAACTTTTTCGATATGACAATTTTATTTTTGAAGACACAAAGAACAAATAATTTCTGGCTTTCTGCAGTATGATATCTGTATCAAGAGCAATGACGTATGTAAAACAGTAAATAATTCCTTCGGAAAATAAATTTACTCGACCAGGGGTACCAACATTTTTTCATAAGATTCCTCTGCTGCTTATATGACATGAAATTCTAGTCTTGTGATAACGATACGTTGCTGAGGTTGGCAACCCCGTCCGCGATATTGTAATACAGGGTTATTTCGTCGTTAAATGAAAAACACTGTGAGTCATGGCAATAATACTAAAGTTAAGCTTCATGAAAACAAATCTGTGAAGGCTTGACGCCAATATTCACCTCCATGATCGAAACATTAACTACGACTGCGAAGTCTGCAATGGTAATTTTGCTGCCTGCAAGCCAGTCCCGCCCTTCCAAGAATTTATTCAGGAACTCAAACGTCTCTTCTACTTTGGCGGCTGCATCTGCATCAGGAGTTTTTCCCTCTTTGACAAACGTCTGGAACAGAAGTGAGACAATTTATTGTAAAGTAAAATTTAAAACGTATATTTCATTTCATTTCAAATTTTCAGATTTTTAATTATCTGCGTGAAACATGAGCATTAAATTGCTGTTGGTGACAGACTGAATATTCCACATTTTTAATGCAACCTAATATCGACACTAAATTGTCTGAACTACTGAAAAAGCGCCGTTAAATAAATATTTACGGATGATAGGTTACCCATCTTCGGTAAAGGGAGTGCATAATTAACGATAAATTTAGACACTCTCGTTTGTTGCTTATCGTGGCGTGGGATTCTTTTAAAGTCCTCTCTGTTCTAAGTACCACATGGCCACTTACGAAATATTCCTTAAGTCTTGGAAAGATGATATCAATATCGAAGAACAGCCTGTGGTTAACAACAGCGCGCTGTTTGGGGTCCCTGGGATACAGAGAATCGTCCTTGCCATATTGGTCCACCAAGTAGCCGAGGATGGCGCGACTGTAACAGAAAAAGCCCCGAAATCAAAGATAATGTTCCGGGTCCCTCACAGTTCCCTGATTCTTCGTACAATTAATTTATGTGTTGGCGGAGGAATTTTTATTTCTATGCGGGTTTTCAATGGGAAAACGTTTTACACGTGAGAGTGTACGAAGAAAATCTTGTGGTTTTGCACGCTTATTGAGATACAGCGATAGAAAGAGCCAAAGAGGGCGGTATTAACACAGTAAGGATATGTCTATAATATGTACCAAATATCGTCCAATGAGCCAACAATTTCACTCCTGAAACGTCTCTGCAGAAAATCGAAACTGATACACAGTTCATTTCAATTCAATCCGTAGACTTGTGTAACCACCCTTGTCTCTTGTTCAGTCTAATGTACACAGTCAACAACACGTCGTGTCCTCAGCTCCGTCAACAATCTCAATAACCGTGTTGCCTTGGGACCTAAGACCTTCTTCACAAAATCTTCCACTAGGCTCCCACCTTTATTCCAGACATTCTTTATAAAACTTATTCCATGTTTCACACACACATGAACGGAGTACCGTTTTATTTTACTCTTCGTAAATTGAATTCTTTGGTTCTTTAAAGATGTTTCCTCAACTACGTAATATATTTAAGAATACCTGCGAATGACAAATTATAAACAGTGTGAAACACAGCGGCCATAGCGTATTTTGAATTTACTGAAAATCCCAAGAGAAACCTAGCAACCCTTTGGGTAGGACAACTCAGACTCAAACCCGAGGCCTTCAGAATACGAAGAAGGAATGATAACCAATAGATCACGACGTTTGGCCCCTTATAAAATTTGAGTGAGTGTGTGTAAACTTTTGTGGTATTTTACCACAATTAATTAAAATAAGCCCAAAATTTGAATAAAATATCCGGGTGGATAAAATCATGTTTAGCTGTATTATAACCTAAGATCTACAAGAGAAATTAAATAATTTCAATCTTTCGTTATATTTTAGAAATCCAAAATTAAACGATTATAGCTGGCCAGGAACTCAGTCTGTTGCATCACGCCCTGCGTGTTCCGCCATCATTACACAACGATAGGACGTTATCTCATAAAAGGTGTTGTCTCACGACAGAAGACTTCAATTACTGTTATCAGCCGTAACTAGTTAATAAAATTCTGGAATGATATATTTCTGACATTTATGAAACTACAAACAGATTTCTTTTGACGTGGAGAGCGTAAGATTGCATTTTACATGAGTTCGAAAAACGTAATATTAACAGATATTAAACAAGTAGATACCGCTCTGCAGTATGTGCAGACTTGCGCCGTGGAGAAGATAGGGTTTATCTGCGCATGCGCGTCGCGCATGTGTGCTACGGGACGTTGTTACAGCGCATGATCGACCAGTATCAACAATCACCTGACGTTCTTAAAAATGAAGTTCCAAATTAGCCAAGTCACACGCCCGAAGTGAAATTTAACTATTGCTTGCTAAAATATACTGTCAGTGTGCAAAAAGATAAAGGAGTTCAAATATCGGAAGTAACGTCAAAAATTACAACTGCATTCGCGAGACCAATTTAAAAGAATAAAAATATGAAAAGCATTTCAAGTGTTGGCAGTCATTGTCATTTTAATGGCCTCTGCAGACGTGACTCATCCAATTAGAGCAAGTCTTTTTTTTTCTCAGTTGTAAATTCTAAAGCGGGTAATTGTCGCATTAAAGACATATTTGAATAGTGATTGTCTACCAAGGCCAGAAAGTTGAGTTAGGCTGCAAGAGTGATTAAAAAAAAGTTTATACTTTAAAAATAACTTACGCAACTTCTTTGGAAAGCATTGACCGTGACAAATCTGCAGTTTACCAAACGACAAAACGTTAATAAATTCATCAAACAACTCGTAACTTGGATGACCGTTACAAATACACGCCTGGGAGGGAGGGAAAGACCGCGAAGCGACAGAACGTAAGGAGAAACAACCCAGTCCTTCCTTGTACGATCAGGCGTGCATTGCTAGCGTTTTAGAGTTCCTTTGGTTCGCGAAATACATCGTAGTTTCGAAGCCATTGTATCAAAATGCCACCGATGGTGTCGAAGTTACAGGGGGAGGATGTTTTCAGTTACAGTATTCATACTCAGGC